TCCGTTGCTCTGTTTCCCTCTCTGTCCTTCTCCCTTTCCTTTCAACATTTGAGTTGTTTCTTACTGTTCTATGACACAGACCCAGTTCCTTCCGCGGTGTTCTTTTGCTGATACAGAGCTTGTCCTGTTCTTACTCGGAGGAGACTTGAAAGCACAAATTTTGGGTGGTTAAGCTCTGGGACAACTTGGATCTTTCAGCCTTTTTTCAACTGAACTTTGTTATTTTGCTAGCTACCCATTAAAGTTATTTTATTGGTGCATTTGTTTTGTCTTTTCCTTTCCTTGTTCTCTATTTCGCTTCATTTTTCATCCCTGCCAAGGAAGAGCTGCAAGAATTTCGAGCCTTTGATTTTTCTTTCACAGTATCTACCAAACACTGAGGTGGGTCTTGGAGTCTGGTCCGCGGCGAGTTACAAAGATCGAATCATGCAGAATCAAGCAGATATTTTCATAGTCCTTTAACTTAATCTGCTTGCTGTTTGATTCATCTAATTCTCTCTCTGAAGTAATAGCTGTGCTTCAAAAACCTTTTGTTTTTCTTATTATTATGTCTTAAAGAGTCTTGTTTAGTAAAATAAATGGAGTCCGGTGATGGGTTATGTTCAAAAGAGTTTGATTTGGATGCTAAGTGGCTGGTCGATCCGAAGCAAATCCTTGTTGGGCCAAGGATTGGGGAGGGTGCACATGGCAAAGTGCACAAGGGGAAGTAAGTTATTCTAACCTTGATACCTTTCTCTTAGCGTTGAATTCTTGGGTTTGAAGCTTCTTATGTTCTATTCAACTCTGATTTCTGAATTCTTGGTTTGTAATCGTTTTGTTCTTTCTTTCTTTCTTTCTTTCTTTCCCTCTTTCTCTATTTTCTTTGTTTAATTACAATCAGGCATGTATATTTTTATGGCTTGTGTTTGTTTAACAGCATCTCGTCACGTGCAATTATATTTCTTTTTCACAATCCAGATACAAAAACGAAAATGTTGCTATTAAAATAATTCGAAGAGGTGAAACTCCAGAAGAAATTGCAAAAACGGAGGCACGCTTTGCTCGAGAGGTCGCAATGTTATCCAAAGTTCAGCACAAGAATCTTGCAAAGGTTGTCGATACAGTTAATAACTTTAATTGCCGAGTAATTTGATTGTTCTATTAGTTTTTTTGGATTCTCTTTTTTTGGTGCCTTTTGCAGTCTTCTTTGTACTCTTATGGCACTTAATGATTATTTAGTTTCCTGAAAAAGAAAGGGTAGTAATCAGCTTAACGAAATGAACTGAGTTGTATAGTAACTTGTGGGATGTGGGGGCGGTTTGTCTCAGTTTATAGGTGCTTGCAAGGAGCCCATTATGGTGATAGTGACTGAGCTTCTTTTAGGCGGTACATTACGAAAGTACTTGTTGAGTATACGTCCAAGGTGCTTGGACTTGCACGAAGCAGCTTGTTTTGCACTTGATATAGCACGCGCAATGGAATGCCTGCATTCCCATGGGATCATTCACCGCGATCTCAAACCTGGTATACTTCTGCTAACTATACTTTGAAGCCTATTAAATCAAAATTCTTCAGGTAGTATAAAGTATAATTTACTCTTGAAAAGAGATATGATAGTACAAGTCTGCTGGAATTATTTCAAGATGATTGTATATAGTTTTATTGTCAATATTGTTCATTTCATTTCATTTCTGTGCCGTGTATGTAACGAGGCTACCGCTAGCAGATATTATCTTCTTTAGGCTTTCCCTTCCAAGCTTCCTCTCAAAGTTTTTAAAATGCGTCTGCTAGGGAGAGAGTTTTCACGCCCTTATAAAAAATGTTTCATTCTCCTCTCCAACCGAGGTGGGATTTCACAATGCATCTATATTTAGATTTTAGATTTCCTTTTAGCAGTAGCAGTACTATATACTGGTTTAAGCTCGATCGGATAGACAGCAATATGCTACTTCTGAGGATGATCGATCATTCTAATTCTAAGGATATCGTTTTTCGTCCCCCAGAGAATTTGATCTTGACCGGAGACCACAAAACTGTTAAGCTTACAGACTTTGGTTTGGCTAGAGAAGAGTCAGTAACAGAAATGATGACAGCTGAAACTGGGACTTACAGATGGATGGCTCCAGAGGTGAAATTTTGGTTAATGTATTATTTCATGTCAATGGGGCTCTTTTGTGGTAGTTCTCTATATCACCTATTATACTTTGTGGCAGCTATACAGTACGGTCACTTTAAGAAATGGAGAGAAGAAGCATTACAATCACAAGGTGGACGTTTATAGCTTTGGAATTGTATTCTGGGAGATCGTCCAAAATAAGTTGCCTTTCGAAGGCATGTCGAATCTACAAGCTGCATATGCAGCTGCTTTTAAGGTGATTTCTTGTACTGTCATTGGACTATGTCAGTTAAAATAATAGACTGTTGAACAATTTCTCTCGAGTATGTATCTTTTGCCAAGTTGTTAGTTAGAGAAACTTAATGTAACGGCTCAAGCCCACTGCTAGCAGATTTTGTCTGCTTTGGCCCGTTACATATCGCCGTCAGTTTTATTGTTTTAAAACGTGTTTGCTAGAGAGAGATTTCCTCCGCACCCTTATAAGAAATGTTTTGTTTTCCTCTCCAGCATGATATGTAAGAGTCCTTGGTTTCCATTTCTTAGGTCTCTCTTGAGTTGAGAAGAAGAAAATTGAAAACATTAGCCACCATCTTCATTATAGCGTAGGAGCAGATTAATGTTACATTACATGTTCTTATTGTTGTTTTGCCTTTTGTTGATTGAATAGAGCTATACGTACACAACTAATAGTTGTATCATCTCCATCATTCTATCCTCTGGCCATTGTTGATACAGAATTTCCGACCCAATGCCGAGAACCTCCCGGAGGATTTGGCCCCGATTATAACTTCCTGTTGGACCGAGGATCCGAATACTCGGCCGAACTTCAGTGTAATCATACAGATGCTCTTGAAATATCTCTCCACCATTCCACAGCCAGAGTATGTTACACCACCAACAATGCAGGCACCTGAGAATGCAGTGCTGCCACCAGAGTCTCCTGGAACTAGTTCTTTGATGGCTGCCACAAGACGTGGCATGGGGGATGTCCCGAAAAGCGAGATAGAAGAGAAACCAAGCAGTTTCTTCTCATGTTTCTCTGGTAGCTGTTACTGATCCTTCTGTTAAGAAATGAACTCATGGAAGTAGAGTGTATAATAACGGAAGTTTACTTCAAAAAGAATAAGCAGTGTAGTTCATCAAAAGATAAATTGTGATGCAGATTCCATTAGTGATATCTGTTCAAGTTGAATCCATAAGAGAGTGTGGAGTTGGGGTTGCTGTGATGTCAACTGTAAGAACAATGATTCATCCAAATGCCTTCCTCTCCTGCTTGCTTCTTCTTCTCGCTTTCTTTATTGTTCGAGTTCTTCACACCCAAACTTTCATTTGAATTCAGCAAATTTTTTAGTGGTATTATTCGAACTTTTGACTCTTGGTCAAGTTTACACGACAATTAGGTTTGAACTATGATCCCTTAACAATATTTATACTTTTACAATATTTATATATGTATTTGACATTTTTTTTAAAGAAATTTGTGAATATATTTGTAACCGTTGAAGTCTATTGTCCTATTTGGACTTTCCTTTTGAGGCTCCCTTCAATGTTTTAAAATGCCTCCGCTAGGAGAAAAATCTGTTTTCGAGGTACCCTAAAAAGAACCTTTCCTCTCCCTTTTCTGCCCGACTTTTTGGTCTTAAGAATTTTTTATTGTTGCTATCTAGTTCGAACCATCTGGGTATTACGAACAAGGGTAAATTGATACATTAGAAATCTCTCCATGCTTGAAAAAAATAACTTATCATCTATGGGGTATTACTTGGGACGTATGCTCAAGAGTTTGGGACATATGCTCAAATCATCGTATGCTCGGGTATTACGAAGTAGAACGTATGCTCAAATCATCTATAGGGTATTACGAATATGCTCAAATATGGGTTATTACTTGGGACGTATGCTCAAATCATCATATGCTCGGGTATTACGAAGTAGATTGATACAATAGAAACCTCTCCACGCTTGAAAAAAAACAACTTGATGTATTGCTCAAATCATTGGTCAGTATTAGGTAGGATAGCAGTCTTCGGGCTTTGCCTGCCCTTTCTCATAAAGAATTATGGTTTGGCCTAGGCAGGAGCTCGTATGGATACATTAAATTCTTATTATTTTTCTTCTTTTTGGTTATTTTGATTTTGGGATGTTTTTTTTTTTTTTGTTTTTTTTTTTTTTTGCTAGATATACAAAATTGAAATGAAAATCTAAGACTAAACAACCTAAATATTTTTGTTGTTGTGCCTGACTCGAAGCCCTTTCCTTACTCCTCATAACGTTTTTATGAGAGGGAATATTGATCTCATAATTCACCTCGGTAATTAACATTCTTGGTGGTACTCGTTCTCTCTCCTGTGTGGGAGCTCAAAATCCACTTCTTTGAGTCTCAACTTCCTTGTTGATACACCTTTTACTGGTATGTCTTTCAAAACTACTCGAAATTTTAGTATATTATCCACATTTTGAAGGTTTTGATTTGTTATGATTTTGTTTTATTTTTATTTGATTACGTCTAAATTTCTTGAAATCTCACAAATTGGGTTTTGACCATATTTGACAAAGTTTGTTGACTGAATTAAATTGAAAAAAAAATTCAATATATATATATATATATGAGAAAAGAACATAAAAGATAAAAAGAGGTATACAAGTGGACCAAGTCAAAGTATATAGTGATATTACTTGGGGCGCAAGTATATTTGTGGACATTTACTCGCTTTTCGAAGTTACAATGCTTCCACTAGACACCTCAGCCTCAGCTTCTTCTTCCATAACTAAGCCTCGGTCCTAGCTTCCGTCAATGTTGGGCCCACAACCATGTACAACAATTCCCCAAACATGCTTCAACGTATTCTTCCGAGCCTATGATCCTGTACCCGAGCCTTTACCGAGCCAGGAACTCAGTTTTCCCGCTCACACTGGACACCGTTGGGACTTCGGACGGCACAACGCTTTCTTTCACTGAGACTTAAGCGTAGCGGACTAAAATCTGAAGCTCAAACGCGCTGAAGCATTATATTATATCTCTCCCCTTACTCGCTGAAATGCGATTCCTCTTCTTCTTCCACCATTTCTGATCGTTTTGTTTTTGATCTCAAGCTCTTGATGAATATGGCGAGGTGAGTCTACTTTCTTCATGTAATTTCTTTAATCCCTGTGGAGTGTTCTTCAGTTCTTTCAATCCCTGATAGAAAAATGTGTGTGTGTTTTCTCTTCTGTTTCTCTGTTCATTGTGTTTCTGGGTCGATTCAATTATTGTGCCAAGATGATGGGCTTTTTTGTTTATTTGTTTTTTCATTGTTGCCCTTTCGTTTAATCGAAAGTATAAGTCTGGCTCTTGGAGTTTATACCTTCTTTTATTCGTAATGCTCTGCTAATTTTGAGAAAATGCTGATACAGAGGATGTGGTTAATACTCGAGATTGAAAGGGAAACACAGCTTAATATCTTTTAAGCTATATTATTACTGTTTGTTGCTTGAGAGCTCGTTTATTCGCGTTAATGGCAGAGCTAACATGCCCCACTAGCTCAACATGATCCTTTGTGGTTAAGAAATTGGGGGAATATCCTGTTTTCAACATTTGGGTCTTAGACTCAAAATCTTTTGCCATGGTTCGAGCTAACCAGTCGCAAAATAGACAACATATTTAGGATAGTTTTGCTTTTATTTCCTGCCAATGCACCAAAAACTATCGTTTTGGATCATTTTAAGAATTTACTTGACCAACCTGGTAATTGAATATACCATCCATGTTCAAGTTTTCTTTCCTCACATACCAATATTTTTCAAATATTTAACCACCACTGTTTGACCTAATTACAATGGAGTTTGGAGAAGGAACTGGGTGATTTTGGGAGACAAATTCTCAAATCTTAGGTGTAATAGCCCAAACTCATCGGAGTAGATATTGTCTTTTTTGAGCTTTCCCTTCCCGGCTTTCTTTCAAAGTTTTAAAACGTGTCTTTTAGGGAGAGGTTTTCACACCCTTATAAGGAATGTTTCATTCCCTCTCCAACCGATGTGGGATCACACAATCCACACCACTTGGGGGCCCAGCATCCTCACTGGCACACCCCCAGTGTGTGGCTTTGATACCATTTGTAATAGCTCAAGCCCACCGCTAGCAAATATTGTCCTCTTTGGACTTTCTCTTTCGGGCTTCCCCTCAAAGTATTAAAACACGTCTTCTAAGGAGAGGTTTCCACACTCTTATAAGAAATACTTTGTTCCCCTCTCCCACCGATATGGGATTTCACAATCCACCCTGCTTGGGGTCTCAAGGTCCTCGCAGGCACACTGCCCGGTATATGGCTCTAATACCATTTGTAACAACCTAAGCCCACCATTAGCAAATATTTTCCTATTTAAGCTTTCCCGTCCGGGCTTCCCCTCAAGTTTTTAAAACGCATCTTCTAGAGAGAGGTTTCACACCCTTATAAGGAATGTTTCGTTTCCTCTCCAACCGATGTGGGATCTCACAATCCACCCTGTTTGGGGCCCAGCATCCTCGTGGCACACTGCTCGGTGTCTGGCTCTGATACTATTTGTAACAGCCCAAGCCCATCATTAGCAAATATTGTTCTCTTTCGGCCTTTCCTTCCGAGCTTCCCCTCAAGGTTTTAAAACACGTGTTCTAGGGAGAGGTTTCCACACCCTTATAAGAAATGTTTCGTTACCCTTTCTAACCAATGTGAGATCTCTAAGTAAAAAAAAAATTGTGTTGTTTGACTACTGTATGTTGTAGGGTCTTGCAATTTTGTTCGTGAGATTATCATGTGTGTGGGCTTGGAAACTCAAGGTACCATAAATGAAAAGTTTGCAAATAATTTAATTCTTCATCTTTAAGGACTCAGTTTCAGTGACCAACTTCCATTTTGGAAACCTCTTGAATGCTTATTTTTTTAGTCCAATGAATTAGATGTTCCTTTTAAAAGTTTAGCGATTGAATTTTAACTTTTAGCAACTCATTCTTGTAGGGCTTGGATCCTTGATAGCCGAACATTTGCAAGAAAAGTTAGAAACATCAGCCAATCCTCTTCGCAAGTAATTAAAGATTGTGATGCCAAACGAGAATGCCCAAACTGTCGTTTTATTATTGATAATACAGATGTAAGTTTGAACTCCTTCCTGTGTGTTCATAATTGTTCTTATAGTGATAGTTCATTTTTATATGGACTAAAAGATCACTTTTCATATGCAGTAAATGGTCCATTCATATTTAACATTTGTTAGGATTCACGGACCTCCATAAGGGTATGATATCGTCCACTTTGAGCATAAGCTCTCATGACTTTACTTTTGGTTTCCCCGAAAGGCCTCGTACCAATGGAGATATATATATATATTTTACTTATAAACTCATGATCAACCTCTTAATTAGTCGAGGTGGAACTCCTCTCCCAACAATTCTCAACAATCCTCCCCTCGAACAAAGTACACCATAGAACCTCCCCCTAAGACCTATAGAGCCCTCGAACAACCTCCTCTTAATCGAAGCTTGACTCCTCCTCTGGAGCCCTCAAACAAATTACACCCTTATTCGACACTTGAGTCACTTTTGATTACACCTTCGAAGCTAGCAACTTCTTTGTTCGACACTTGAGAATTCAATTAGCATGACTAACTTTAGGGCATAGTTCTGATACCATGTTATGAATCACGGACCTCCACAATGATATGATATTGTCCACTTTGAGCATAAGCTCTCATGACTTTGCTTTTAGTTTCCCCAAAAGGACTCATACCAATGGAGATATATTCTTTATTTATAAAACCATGATCAACCCCTTAATTAGCCAATGTGAGACTCCTCTCCCAACAATTCTCAACAACCTTTTGCACTCTAGTGGACTCAATTTCAGTGAAAGTTTGGAGTGTATTTTACATGCTACCTTCCAAGTTATGTCGTGCCTTAATAAAAAGCATTAATTTGAATATCTCGCAATTGCATTTTTTTTTTCAGGTTTCTCCTGAATGGCCTGGTTTGCCTGCTGGTGTTAAGTTTGATCCAACTGATGAAGAAATAATGGATCACTTAGCAGCAAAGTGTGCCGTTGGGAACTTAAAACTACATGCATTAATTGATGAATTCATCCCCACACTAGATACAGATCAAGGAATCTGCTACACTCATCCAGAAAATCTCCCCGGTTAGTAATTCATCTGTGTTGCTCTTTTCATTTCCCATACTATAATGTTCTCTTACTTAGAATCACAACATTTTCAAGTATTCAGGTGTTAGTAAAGATGGAAATGATGCCCATTTCTTTCACAAAACAAGCAATGCATATGCCACGGGCCAAAGGAAGCGCCGCAAAATTGAAAGTGAAGATTGTTCAAGCATGGAACATTTCCGGTGGCACAAGACTGGTAAAACCAAAGCTGTGATAGAAAAGGGTGTTCATAGGGGATGGAAAAAGATATTCTCTCTGTACCGAAGTTCGAAGGGTGGCTCGAAACCCGAAAGGTCGAGCTGGGTGATACATCAATATCATTTGGGAGTTGAAGAAGATGAGAAGGAAGGTGAATATGTTTTGTCAAAGATTTCTTATCAGCAGCCAAAGCAATGTAGTAAGAGCAATGATAATATGCTGATTGAGGATTTTGATGCTTTGCTCCATCAAACTAGTCCTAGAACTCCCAAGTCGAATCCTCCGATACCTCCTCGATCCGGGAAATCATTTGTTTCCAATGATGTTGCTGACAATGGTCTGCCTCAATCATTTGCAAAGGTAGCTTATCGTTTAAGTTAGTTTCATTATCTATTTGTGTGAGATCTCATATCGGTTGGAGAGGAAAACGAAACATTCCTTATAAAGATGTGAAAACCTCTCCCTAATATACGCGTTTTAAAAACCTTGAGGGGAAACCTAAAAGGCAACGTCCAAAGAGGACAATATCTGCTAGCGGTGAGCTTGGGCTGTTATAACTGATTTTAAAGCCAGACACCGGACGGTGTGCCAACAAGGACGTTGGGCTCCTAAGGAGTGTGGACTGTGAGATCCCACATCGGTTGGAGAGCAGAACGATGCATTCCTTATAAAGGTGTGTGAAAACCTCTCCCTAGCATACGTGTTTTAAAAACCTTGAGGGGAAGCCTGAAAGAGAAAGTTCAAATAAGACAATATCTGCTAGCGGTGGGCTTAGGCTGTTATAAATGATATCAGAGCCAAACACCGGGCGGTGTGCCAGCGAGGATGTTGGGCCCCCAAGGAGTGTGGACTGTGAGTTCCCACATCGGTTGGAGAGGAGAACAATGCCTTATAAGGGTGTGGAAACCCCTCCCCAACCGACGCATTTTAAAAACCTTAAGTAAAAGGTCAAAAAGGAAAGTCCAAAAAGGACAGTATTTACTAGCGGTGGCTTGAGCTGTTACAATATGATGTTGTTGTGTATGAATAAGTGGAGTTTCTATGACAACTGTGTTCATGCCTTGACCCTATAATGTGTTCATCTGTCAAATTCTCACTTTAGTATGCTTTGTTGATTAGGAAGAAGAGCTGACTCCAGAAGCAGCTCATATTTCATTGGAGAACAACGTCGGATTCCCCGGATGGTTGGCCGGAGAATCTCAGGGTATAGATGATGCTGAATTACATTACTTGGAAGACCACTTATTGTGCAATGAAGTCCTGGATTCTAATGTTCTTACAAGTAACAGCCAACTAACTCAAATGTCTTTCCCGCTCCCCGGTAGCAACGGTTGCCACAATATCATGAACGATAACGTTACGTGTGGAATTGCAGACCTTGAGAACCTTGAATTGGATACTCCACCTGATTTTCATCTTGCTGTAAGTTAACCTCACTCCCAAGTTTCAAATGCTTGCTTTCCTTTGATCTATATAACTCAACTTTGATCATTGCTTACAGGACCTGCAGTTTGGTTCTCAAGAGAGCATTTTCGACTGGCTCGACAGGATATGAAGCGAAATCTCGTAAGAACAACATGTTACAATCTGGCTTTTCGGCCAGAATCTTCCTCGAATTCACCATATTTCGTCGTAAAAATCTTTGCTGTCATTTGGCTTTCATTTGTATGGAGAATGCCATGCATATCACCCCCACCTGCATGGCACATAACAATTTACAATCACATATATCAGTTGTTTTATTGTCAAATTGTCGAATCAAGAACGAATATGACTATTGCTCAAATTTTATGTTAAATGCACCATGAAGATGGGTGGCTGGGTGGAAAATGTAGAAACTGACTACTATTTGTTATGGGATGTATGAAAACTGATATTCATGACTGTGTAGTGGTGGTGATGCATTTTGAGAATGCAATTGATATTCATCTTTTGCCTAACTTTTGTGTAAGATATGGTATTTGGGCTTATATTTATTTACCTTCTCCATTTTTTCATCATGTTCTATGTTTGTTTCTTTCACGAATTACGTTTCTATCATTTAAGAAATCAATCTTGTGTTCATAGCAAGTTTTTTTTTTTCTTTTTTTGTTAATCAAGAACAAAGCTATTTTATGGAAGGTAGAAAAAGTATATAAAGGAGATTTCTTGTCTTGTTCATGATAGGTCTCTTTACAGTCCTATCTCCCCATCGAGAATTTTGACACTTCTATCAAGAACGTTAATCGTTGACAAAAAAAAAAAAAAAAATTCAAAACCAATATTGGACTTCAAATTTATATTATATTAATGGTATGTATTTAATAAACTTTTATATTTTTTTAATTATTAATACTAATATTTTATTAAGTATCACTTCAGTTAAATAATTAACATTAAATCCACATTTGTTGTATAAAAACAATAAATAAATAAAGGCAGGGGTAAAATGGTCAGAATGAGAAAGAACGTTAAACCCTGCAGGCTGCAACGCCAAACCCTGTTAGATCGGCGGTGTTTAGTAATGGAGATGAGCGATTAATCGTCATCTCTTCCATTCATCAATGTTTTCTGCTACTCGAAGGCTCTGTTTCACTAGGGTTTCTACTCTCCTTCTATCAAATCGCTACAAGTATCGTCTCTCTCTCCTTCGCTTTCTTTCCGTTGCATTTGGTTGCTGGGTGCATTGAATTAGGTTCTTATTTCCATGTTGTGGCTTCAGTTATAGAGTCTCAGGGGAGCCAGTTTGGCGCTTCGTCTCTCGGGCAGTCATTCAATCGCCATTTCCTTTTTTTTTTATAATCGATTTGATTGCTTCCTATATTTTCTTTGAGAACCCTAATGAATTTCCTCTCTTTCGGTTTTCTAGTGTGTTTTCTTTTCCCTTGTTAAGAAATTTATACAGCTTTTTGAAAAACTCGCTTTCTCCTTAAGTCTATGCTTTTATTGTTTTTTTCATTCCCTTTGATGAACTGCGTTAAAAAAGTGCATCCATTCTGCTATTGCTTATGGAATTCATCTCTTGGAAATTTTCTCAACCAGAGCGAAGGTTTGGTTTTCTTAAAAAAAGATCATGATTTTACTTTTTAGATATGACGCTCTTTCATAGTTGAATCTGCTCAGGAAATATATGACATTATTTAACTTCGTTTGTACTGCTTCTCTCATTTGCCAAGCATCCAATTGAATGCATACTTTGATTCTGTGGGTATTGTTCCTCAGCATATATCCAAGGCATTTAGATGTAATAATAGCATCCACTTTATTCAATGCAGTATGAACAAAGATTCTGATAGGATATAATTTTTTTTAATGTGTGCAGCAATGTCGTATCATTAGCAGATTTTCATTCAGAGATTGCTTCAAGCAATGTGGCCCTTAGAAGCATTCGTAGTGAATATGTATTGCCTTCTAAATCAAAGGTTGTTGGTTCTTACAATGGGTTGTCCCGTTGTATGTCGACATCAAGGGGAAGGAGTATGCGTAGTAAGGTGGAGAGGAGAATGAGGAAAGAGTCTGGTAAGACCTTAAGGGAGATCCGAAGAGCTAAGAAAATTAAGAAAAAGCTGATGACAGAGGAAGAAAGGCTCCTTTACAACCTCAAAAGAGTATGCCATTTCGAAGTTATAATCTATGTTGTCGATTTTGATGACTTACTTACATCTGTTTTTAATGTCGATGAATATTGTGATTGAAGAGATATTTTATGAATTACAGCCTTCTCTGGGAAATTTGAATTTGACATTTGATGTTCAATTTAAGTCAATATACTGCTGCCTTTGTTTTAAATAAAAACATAATTCTACACGCACACAATTTATAAATTTGATTGATTAGTATGACCACATTTGTCTCATATCTTTCATAGGCCAAGAAGAAAGTAGCATTACTTTTACAACAACTCAAGAAGTATGAGCTCCCAGAGTTGCCACCCCCTCGTCATGACCCAGAGCTCCTGACCCCCGAACAGCTTCAAGCTTATAAAAAAATAGGCTTTAGAAATAAGAATTATGTTCCAGTTGGTGTTCGTGGAGTGTTTGGAGGAGTGGTCCAGAATATGCATCTCCACTGGAAGTTTCATGAGACTGTGCAAGTGTGTTGTGATAACTTCCCCAAAGAAAAAATCAAGGAAATGGCAACCATGCTTGCAAGACTTAGCGGTGGAATTGTTGTGAATGTACATAACGTGAAAACAATCATCATGTTTCGTGGAAGAAACTATCGTCAACCTAAAAATTTGATACCAATCAACACCCTTACTAAGAGAAAGGTACGCATGCTGGATCACAGTGTTTCTTCTCTCAGTTTCTTTGCCTTGTTTTTAAAAATAAGTACTTCTTTTGGGTTGCTCCCTTCTCCCCCCCCACCCATCCACACACACACACACCATATTTCTTGAAAACGGATAGGCTGAATTTTTGTCCCTTAATTTTATGGCAAACTTCATTCTGTATTCTTTTGAAAGCTTGGTTTTAGATCTTAACTCTTTCCTGGCCACTATGTTAGTCCCTTTGGTGAAACTGACTAGATTTGATTGAGTAAACTGACTAACTAGATTTGGTGGAAATTATTTCTTCCATTGGGTGAATGGAGATCATAATTAATGTGGTAGGATAACGGAAGTCAAGAAAACAGTAGAATAACAGTTGTTCGTTCTCTTACGTAGGCGTTATTCAAGGCCAGATTTGAACAAGCTCTCGATTCTCAGAAGCTAAACATAAAGAAGATAGAACAAGAGCTCAGACGTAAGGGTATAAACCCAGAGGATCCAGTTGCTATGGCCAGCATCCAGAGAGTAGCTTCAACATTTTTTAATGCCATTGACAAAAAAGAAGGTACCCCGTATGTCTTCTACGGTGATAAGCAGACAGTGACAGAGATCGAGCGTAACATGGAAGAAGAGGAATCTCATAGTGACAGTGACCAGGAAGAGTTAGACAGATTCATAGCTGAGATAGAGGATGCAGCAGATCGAGATTGGGTTGCTGAGGAAGCAGCAGAGAAAGAAGAGCTTAGCCAAATTAGGTATAGGAATAGAGAAGAACACGGTGGGAGATTAAGAAAATCCGATATGCGTACAAATAACAGTTCTGATGACGAGATTGAAAAGCCAAGTGTTTGGAGACAGCGAGATAGTAAGCAAAGATTATACAATAGTGAGGAGGAAGATGATGAACATGCAAATGAGGAGGAATGGGATTCTGATGATGGTCAGAATGCTAACAATCTTGACAGCAATTCAGATGATTCTGATGGAGCTCATGGGATCATCAAATCGACTCGAGGAGCTGGAGGGAGGCATGATTTGGCCAAAAATAGAAGTTTTAAGAGAAATGTTGAGCCCTTTGTCAGAAAAAGGATGGATTCAGAAGGTTCTGAGCCTGAAACTATGCTTAGTGATCTTGAAAGTGCCATGTGGCAATCAGAAGAAGAGGAAGAAGATGAAGAAGATGACATGAAAGTTTTAAGCTGCGCAAATGATGATTACAGGAGCAATGAAGATGATTTGCATCACATCAAGAAAGATAAGAAGAATAATAAGCGGAATGATTATGACAGTAGCATTGATGAATCCAATGAAGCTTACGATAGATATGAACACGCAGACACTAAAAGAAAGGAGAATAGAATGAGAAAATCAAAGAATAGTTACAACTTTGTATCTAAAAATACTGATTCAGGAAAGGCATTGTGGGATTCAGACGAAGAAGATGAATCAGGGACATCGAGACCACAGAGACACGATTACTGGAGTGGTAGTGATGAAGATGATTCTCGTAGAAAATAGATAAATAGACAGTAAAATGGATGAAATTTATGGAAGAAAACCATGGCTGCAAACTTGGTGCAATAATCTTCTGTTGATTCAATGCCCTGTCTGATTGTGTGCGAGAGAAAAGGGCACTTTTTGGTAAGTTTGGTCGCAGTAGCCCCATGAAACAAACGATTTTACGGTAACTTAAAGATGATTCATTTTTATCTACTGCGATTGTTCATCATTTTTCAGTTTAGACTTCTTCTGCTGATGCTTTTGATACTGTTAGTCCAAATAATTGTTGCTGCAATGTCAAAAGATTAGCACCATGGTGCTCGTGCCCGTGTTCGTGCTCGTAAAATAGCCATAGACAGAACTGAGAGAGACCAAAAAGGCCATCTAAGATCGTAGAATTAAGCTAGAATGGAGAATGTTAAGAATCCAAAATGTAAGAGAGAAAACTACTGTGCTTTAAGGATGTGGCTCTTATTCTAGTCATGGCCTTTTTTTTCTTTTTTTTATATCAATGAATTTTTAATTTTCCTTTCCAGCCTATTGGTTTAATGCTTGTGGATGCAAAAATTTTAGTCGGGTCACATGGGATCATATCTTTTTAGGGCTCCCCTGAAACGCTGGAAGAAAAAATTCATTGTTAAGTCCTTAAAGCAACAAGCAAGATTCATCTGTGTAGCCTTTGCTGAAATGTGAATTGGTAAACTAGGGCAAACACTTAAAGAGATATTCGTTGAATTGGTAAACTAGTTCAAACACTTGAAGGAAATATTTTTTTTGTAGACTTCAATAGTGCACATAAGGAAGATTGAATTATACTCTGAGAAGTAAATAGAGCCAACTTATCTATAATCATTCTATACGAAAACGATTTTGATACTTTAAATTAGTTATCCATTCTGAAGCCAATGTACAAGACGAAACGACCATTTAGGTCCGATTCGGATCTTCAGCCAGACTGACTTTCAAACCTAATAACTTCCCATTCTTCTGACCGAACCGCTCTTTGCTTCACCCATCCATCCTATTTGGTCAAATACCCGCACCACTCTCTGACCAGATGGGAAAGATGGAAAACCGACTTTGATACTTTAAATTAGTCTTAATATTAGTGATTACTCCATTAAAATCCATAAGTAAGAATCCACCATGTCAAGTGCCACCAACCAACGTGGAAGGTGATGAAGTCAACTCATCTATCTACACAATTATTAGATTCTTCCTCCCAAATAAACATGTTTGAATTTAATATATGTGAGATAAAATATTACAAAAATAACAACTAAAAATAATTATAAATGCAAAATAAAATTTCATTAAAATTAATAACCGATATCTATCGAATAATCAGTTATGAAAATTAATAATTATTACACAAAATAAAAAGACAATTGGATTATTATTATATTATAATAATAATTATTATTACTAAAGTCAATAAGTGTTGATCAAAATAATTTTTTGAAGAACATTATTCATAGTATTTTTGGAAAAATGGGTTACCCACTCAAAGTTTTCATTTTAATATATAAAGGCATAAAGAGAGTGGAAGATCAATTGAATTTTGAAGTGGGGAGGCTGAAAATCGTTGACCAAAACCCACTTTTTTATTTGAATGGTAACAAATTGTTTGGAAATGAAATTGAACTTAGGTTTGAGAATTAGAACAATCAACAAGCATTTTACAGCTATGACTATGATAGTCTTGCATTGTTGAAAAGGTTCTTGGCATAACTTGTGGGAAACTCTAAGCTTTTCGTCTTTTCACTTTTTCGGGTTAAGTCAATAGTTAGTTACTTTACGAACCCTTTGACTTTTATGATTTTCTTTTTCTCAAAAAGGAAATTCAAACATTTACATAAAAGTATACGTTTCAACGAGTTGAATTAAACTTAAAGTTTGCAGATAAAGTTGCCAACCAGCAATGAAAGTGAAAACAGCAGATAATAAAGATGTTTTTATTTTTCTACCTCTGGGAACTTTATAGTTCGGTGGAATGGAAGATTCTTTGGTCTTTAGGGAGAGTGGTGGGCACCATGATTGAATGCTTAGAGGAAGAAATGTCCACATGCTTCCCACTTTCCATCACAACCTCACGTGATTTCATCCAAAGATCCCACATGAAAAAGAGAACATGCGTCAAAGAAGATGCTAGCCTCAAAGAGGATTCTGGCCTCAAATAGAGGTAGATGGTGAGACTTTATATCGATTGAAAAGGGGAACGAGTGCCAACGAGGGCGCTGGGACCCGAAGAGAACTAGATTGTGAGATCCCCACATTGATTGGAGAGGGGAACGAAGCAAATCTCTCCCCAGCAGCACGTTTTCAAACCCTTTAGGGAAAGCTTAAAAAGGAAAGAAAGAACGACAATATTTACTAACAGTGAGCTTGAACTGTTACAAAACTAAGGGTAAACTATTCTTGGCGCTACGACTTAAACCAGGACCAAACAAAATTGATTAGGTCGGTTTTCTTGGTTCTTTAGGTTTAAACTTGAATCCCAAAGAGGTACAGGAAAACAAGAAGAACAGTATGCATTTTCAGAGGTCACACCACAAATTACACATTAAGAAGAGAAAAAAAAAGGAGAAAACAGATATCTAAGACCATTAGCATTTCTATTCACTTCCAGAGAAAACCATTGAGAAAGGAACAAATGAGCACTGTGACAGTGTTCTAAGATCAATACAGAGAGAGATGGTGGAAATTACAGTGTTACCTAATAAGCAATACCTATAAGACAAGCTTGGAAATGTGATTCAACTTTGAAGACATATGGTGGTTTGTGCCTAATATAACCCAATATAGCAATTACAATCAGTTTCCTCAGCTGCAACAGTATGGAGCCTCTGCCCTCAGTTTCCATTTCAGCCTCGCCTCAACTTCATTGGACACACAACCTTTAACTAACTCCACATTACAGCCATCAAATTTCAAAATAGGTATCTGTTTATGTTCAACATTTACAAAGTCATTTCTTCGTTCTTGTTCTTTCATAATTTAGCCACTTTCTCTTCTGCAGTTACCTGGTAACAAGTATTTGTACTCCTGAGCATTGTTTAGAAGGAATGATGGGAGATGAACGGCAGAGTAAGACCGAGGGATCGGTCCCATCTTCCCAATTATGTCCCGAAACGTGTACTCTTCTGGAAGCATGTCGAATAGGTCTTCTCCTTTGCATATTTTGTCCTGAATTCTGATGGGGTTCAAGTAATGAGAAAATCTTACTCTATCATAATGGCTGTATGCTTTCATCTTGAATATGAACTCACTGATACGGCGAAAGCAAAAGCTACAATGCCACCCCGAATCTGATAAGATTTCGTCGGATTGGCGATAATGAGCATACCGTGTTTTACCATGTTTGTACTGATGGACAGAAGCTCTCCAGCTCTTGTCATCTGCATAAAACTCGAAGGAGTACAGGTAGTTCCTTAGTCGCAGATGGAGTATGGGCGGAGTATTGTCGCACCACCTCAAGAGGTTTATCGTGTGAGCGCTTGGGATCTCGTCGACGTCAGACATGATCAATAAGTCATCATTCTGTATCCCTGCAATCCTAAGAAGTTGATCCAAAGCCAATCTTTGATATGCCTCTTCAACAAATGGATTCTCTCCTTTCTTAAACCTTCCCCCTATCATCCCATAGGTCAACCGTGGCTCAATGAAGCTAAAGCGCTCCCTGTTGTTTGCAAAAGCCAACTGCTTTGGCAGACCGGTGAACGTAGAGTTCGACTCGAGAAGCACAAACTGACTCACATAAGGATACAGTTCGTTCCATCTAACGGTCAGGATATCAACTTCATTACTAAACAGAACGGCATCGAAGACTCGTCTCGGCGATTCACGCATTTCCCAACCATGAAGTTTGCAGAGAGACTCCATTGATACATTCTCATGATAGTAATGAGGGATTTCATTAAATGGCTTAGGAGGAGACTCCCATAAGGGTCTAAGGAAATAAGAGATCTTCTGGCCATGGAGATATATGAACAATATCAAGAGTGGAACAGCGAAAAAGAAAGAAAGTAGTGTCTTCAAATCCCATCCTCGAAGAATACATCGAAATCTAGACAAGATAAAAGCTCCACGAGGCCCCTGGTACAAACAACAACAACGACAACAACAAACATTGAAGAACATAATCAAGGATCAAAGGACATGTCGATCTAAAAGATTCAAGACACCAATTCATTTCCAGATGCAAAAACAAGAGGAAAATTAAGAGTGGGGACGACAGGACGTTGAAAAACGAAGCGATTCGTTTACTAAGGTGAAATTAGAACACCTAGAAAAGGAAATTTTAGCTATAAATTGAAAAGGACAGCAAAATTTGATTGAATCCCAAATCAATGCACACTTCAAATCAAACCATTGTGGTCATAAACAGAACGAACACGAAGAATAACGATCATTAGACAATTACAGATAACCGTACCTTTCTCGACATTCATGGGTATTTCACGAAGGACAAGTTCAATCAAAAGGGTTTAGAAGAAGGAACAGAACAAACAAGTTTCTTATCCCAAAAAGTCGAATACAGAAGATTCAAAACAAGCGAAGAAACAGAAACAGAGAGGATTGAACTAACAGACCTGGCCACAAACGTCTTCACAAATATCATCGGTCTTCTTGGAGCTGTAATACCCATCAGACATGATAAACAACAAAATACTCGTAAAATTACAGAAAATGCGGGATAAATCCTCAAATTCTCAATCAAAACTCCACAAAATCAGATCCTAGAGGGTGAGATTAAGAAAAGAAAAAACCCCCCACAAAAGAGGCGAAGCAAAACAAAAAATGGATGAGATATTTTGGAGCAGTGGGTATATAAAAATGGAAATGGGGCTTAGTTTAAACGCTTTGATTCATCGCCGAAATAGCGCGGTTCTAGCCGTTGGTGGGCCTTTTGATGGCTCTCCGCTGTTTCACAAAAGCAACTCTAAATGCCAGAATTCCAGAGGTGAGAGAGATAGGCCGCAAAAGAGAGGACTGAAAGATTGATATACAGAAATGGTGCTTAACCTCAATTTTCTTTTTTTTTTTCTTTTTTTTCTTTTTATTTTTATTTTTATTTTATTTTATCCCTCAAATTTCCGAAAAATCCCAAAAATTCAGAAACCTTTTCGACAAAAGGGAATATCTTGTGTGCTCTCGTCTTGGTCTCTTTCTAACCGTTGGATCCAATCCCAGATGCTGATCCAATGGACTGCCAGCTAAGGGGATATTTGGCAAACCGTTATATATTATTTTTCTTTTATTCCATTTAGAATTAAATTAATAGTTACGAAAATCAACTCATTCTACATTGCATCTCCAGATATTCGAAAAGTTTGTTCTTAATTAAATTAAGGGAATATTTTTCTTTTATTATTATTAAATTTTTTATCTGGGGTTGAAATTGTATTCTATAAATTTTAGGATAAAAAATGCATTTTTAAAAATTTTAAATACTAAATAACAAACAAATTATTCAAAGTGACACGGGTACCACGTTGTTATGTGTTATTATTATTTTATAAATTATTGGCATGTGCTTTTGTCTTACGAGAGGGTGTTTTTTCAGTCTAAATTATTCAATTCATGTTAGTACGTGGAGATAATATTTATTTTTAAAAGTAATTAAATTACGAAAAGAAGCGAAATATTTAACATAAGATATTTGTCAAATAAAACGAGGAACGGGAAACTTGTCGTTTCTTCTTTGTTGGTTGCATAACTCAAGGCTACTTTTCTTTTTCTTTTTTAGGTAACTTTTTCTTGTTGCCTTTTTACTAAAATATTCATAACTGGTTGTTACTATATTAATTTATTTTAATGTCTAATTTTAAACCAAAGTTTTTACATGTAAACTTATCATATTGTATAATTTTTATTTATAGTTTAATTTAAAAATCTATTAAAACTCATTAATTTCAACAAAGGTAAAATAAAATTGTGAATAATTTAGGGGTTAAAAACATGAATGCATGTTAAAATTAAGGCGGGCACATTAGATGCCATGTGGATTCAGCTGACGTAGGATGGGCACGTGTTAGACCCGTTACCAACAGAAGTTGGGTCCGCTGTGTTTGTCAAGCGAGCTCTTCTTTGACAGCTAAGTCCACGTGGTTTTGGCTATTGTGGGGATTGTGAAATCTTAGTACTCTTCCGTTGACTTGTTCTCCCCATTCCCCTTTCTCATTTCTTATCTGTAAATTTAATTTTTAATAGTTAATTAGCTTTTTTAATTAATTGTTACTCCAAGAGGCACCAAATTTTGTGGTTTTTTTTAATATAATAATTCAACTTTTTCTTGGTCCAAACACATTTAAATGAATATTTATATGAGTTATTTCTATACTAAAAAAAATATCTAGATTTTTTAAAAATAAATATATAAATCATACATCATGCATCTGACGTTAGTTTGAATGATGCAAAATTATTGACTTTTTATATTTTTATTTAAAGAGACTTTAAGAATATTAAAGTTTATTTCAAAATAACGATGAGAGTCATATTTAATTTTTAATTAAAAAAATAGTTAAAAATAGAAAAAAACAAATAAAGGCAAAGTTTATTTATATTTTTAATTCAATTGATGACAAAAGGAGTTTAGAAAAACAAAACTATATTTACCATTATTATATGAAATAGATATATACATATGTGTTAATAATAGAAGTCAGCCCATAATTGTAAAAATGGATCGGTAGGAGAGTGTTATGCCTTAGAGGGAAGCACCTGTGCGAGCAATGGTGGACGAAGCGGTAGCGAAATTGTCAGCTTGAGTAACACAAATATTGGTGAAAATTCAATGCCCCCAAAATTGAAAGGTTCCTCTACAAAGTTCGTCTGCGGAGGGTGAGTCAAAGCCTAAGATTAAGTCGAAAGACCTAGTCGGGCTAAAAGATGGTTAACGATTCAAGAACACAAGGTACCCCTATTTTTTCAAGGTAAGAAGGGTAGAGAAAATACCTCGAGCCAATAACTTTTAGATCTAATTTTATTTTAAATAATCATCGATTACTTTTTACAATATTTGTGATTTATTAATTGAATTATTCTACATGAACGCTTACTAAGATAATTTTTTAATTGAAAAAAATGTATTTGTGATAATTAGCGTTTGAAAAATGTACTATAATTAAATATTTTATTATCTAGTTATTAAAAAAATAGTTCATAATAGTTGATGAGTTTGGTTAATTATATATTAATCATTAATACAGATTTTATTAGTAAAATGTTTAATAATTTTAATGTAATTTCTTGAAAAAATATTAATTGTGAGAATGCGTATAATTCAATACTCAATTCTAATAACGTTTTATGGAGCAAATATTATCATTGTTATTTCAAATATGAACAAAAATTAATTTTAGAACCCGTTTTATTTAATGGCAAATTTGTCCTTTTTGTTATATGTGGGCCGGGAACGTTTTTGTCTGAAGGCCCAAAATCTCAATCACAGGCCTGAATAAATGGGCCTTAAACTTGTCTTTCCCATCGAAGCCCAGCTCTTCTAATTATAATTACAGAAATCCATAATATATATAAAATGAATTAAAAAAAACCGAAAAATAAGGCTCCGTATTTCTGTTTTGGTCAAAAGACACAGAGCGCTCGTGAAGGAAATAGCAATACCACTCCATCGCTGTCAACCGGAAATCGCCAGACGCCGAGATCAGCCACTCTGTTTCTAACTTCTGGTTCGTTTCCTTTCTTCTAATCGGGATTCTGTTCCCTTTTGGGCGGCTATTTCTTCGATCGATTTCATGTATCGTTGCATTTTTTTCATCTCTAGGATTTTTAATGATTGGGTTAGAGCTCTCACTATTAGGGATTGCGTGTTAGACATTTCCGAAGGTTGTATTGGGTTCGGGGCGATTGCGCCGGCTTCTGTTTCTGGATTTTTGAGATTCTTACTCGAATATGGATCTGGTTTCTGGTTACAAGGTGATCTCCTTCTCCTCTTTGTCCTAATTTTCGTGGATTACGAGGTTTAGAGTAATAATGTGGGGCTTTTTTTTTTGTTGTTGTTGTTTATACGTTTATAGCATTGTGTTTTATCTTTGTATTTAAATAATCTTCAATTGGTTTTCTTCTCCTGTGTAATTGATTGCGTTGTTCGTGTAGGGTATGGTTGAGCTTGTTTTCGGTAATGAGAATTCTTCATCCAATGAAGATAGGTAAGCAGATGCCACGTGCTTCTAATAGGATGATGGATAAGTTGCATAACGTGCGCTTGCCCCAACTGCTAATTCCTGTCCCTGAATCTTAATGTTTACATTTACTGTAACTTTTCGTATATATTATGGTTAATTGTGTTGCCCCTTTCCATAGCTATGTTGAACGTGTATTGGATCGCATTAGCAATGGTCAGCTTGCAGAGGACAGGAGGACTGCCATGGTGGAGCTTCAGTCTGTTGTAGCTGAAAGTCGTGCTGCCCAGCTAGCTTTCGGTGCAATGGGTATGTGCTTGTGCTTTGATTTTCATCGAACTTTACTTATATGGATTATGTGAAATTTATAAATAAAAGATATATTTCATATGTTTTTGTAGGATTTCCTGTGCTCATGAGTGTTCTGAAGGAGGAACGAGACGATGTTGAAATGGTTGCAGTTCCTTAACTGTCCTTTGCTTCCCTGTTGTTGAGAAATTAAATCTTGCTTTATGACGCCTAGTTATGCTTTCATTCTGGAAAAAAAGTATATGTTATTGCCTGTTTCAAGAAGTTTTGGAGGAATTTAAAGATAATATTATATGGTAATTCTATGGTTATTTCTATGCAGTGAAAACTTTAATAAATTATTATACGCTACTAGTTTACTCAATTGCTTCTGTTCTAGTTCAATTTGACCAGCTGCACGAAGTCATTATTTATTTATTTATTTTTTAATAATTTTTTTATAATTATACTCTCAACACTGTCTGTCTTAGTTGGAGAGCTTTTGTTATAATGTTCTCTTGTGTATATTCCATCTATCACTGCAATTTTTTATGTCTCAAAAAGAAACTTACTTTTAAACTTTTTAGAATGTCTAGTAATATGTTCCATTTCTTGAGTCCAGGTTCGGGGGGCCCTGGAAACTCTCGTGAGTGCATTAACTCCTATCAATCATGCTAAAGGGTCCAAGGATCAAGTCCAACCAGCTCTGATGAACTCCGATTTGCTTTCAAGGGAATCAGACAGCATCTCTCTTCTTTTGAGTCTTTTGGTCAGTATTCCTCTTATTAAATATATTTTGATATCTATAGGTTTATTTATGCATTTGTGCTACTCAATTCCATATGTGATCACTTTTCCCCTCCCTTCTTTGGGTTTCTTTCTGAACTTTTGCAGTCAGAAGAGGATTTTTATGTCAGATATTATACTCTTCAACTGTTGACAGCTCTTCTTACGAACTCTCCCACGAGGTATATTATTTACTCAGTTTGTTAGTTTTATTTTATTTCTCTTTTTCTACTTTTTATAGTTTTCATTAATTGAATTGTGGACTTTCCCCTTAAGGCTGCAGGAAGCCATTCTCAGCATTCCTCGTGGTATAACACGACTTATGGACATGCTTATGGATCGTGAGGTATACTTTTGCTAGCAGATACATGAAATTACATTTGATTACCCCCACCACCAATCAAATTAAAGAAAAGAAAAAATTTGGCATGGGTCTCTCTGAACTTTTTTAATCTTCTATCTTGAAAGATCAACTCTTCAAATAACATTTATTTTTCTCCAAATAATCCATCAATATTTTCACTGAGTGGAATACCTTGCCACATGGTATCACATTTTCCCCCTCACGTTTCCTGCTGGTATTTGTATTTGGTAATTCCAATACCTGTTTAAATAACTAGTTAGTTTGAAAACAGTGCTGACTTATTTTCAAAATATCGGCACCAATATTAAACTGAACGAATATATTTATAATGGAAAAATTAAAGCCATGCTAAATAGTGTTATATTGACTTCAGATTTATGATTAATTTTCTTTAATAAAAACAATGGGAGTACAATATTGTCCT